TACCTAGTACGTCATACCCAGTGCCGTTCGGCCGTATTGTGGTGATCGTCTCTGAAGAAATGTGCCGCATAAATATGGCAGCAGCATAAGTAGAAAGGCAGGAAACCAACTCCCGCACCTGCCCTGTTGCCGGAATGGTGCGCGATTTCGACATCTGCAATTTGCCCAGTGACGTGGTCCAACGTGATTCCGCATCGCGTGCTCTACGTACTACGGCATCAAAAATTGCAACAGCGATGTCCTTTCGCTTAATCCGCACTTGAGGTGCTTATTCTCGTTTTCCACTCTGTTGGTGGTGAACGCACCCAACGTACGCACATCGCGCAACCTGGTGGTACGCCAAGCTTCCTGCGAAGGGCAACCATGTCCGACTGAGGTAAGTGAATGCCTCTTTGCTTCTAACCCTTATAGCTCTGAGCAGCATCTTAAATTGCAATTCCGTCTTCGTGTACACTAATCTGTGCATCCACTGCTTGAGCAAAACTCTGTCCGCCTTCTTCACTTTTGACAAAGACTGGCATTTGCGTGAAACGTCCCGCAGGAAATGAAACCGGCATAATACTACCGTGGTCCGTGGATATACCGACTTAAATGCCTTCATTTGACCCAGGCACCTATCCATGACTATAGTCTTCGCTGACAAGGTGGTGGGCAACATTTCCGACATGCCCCGAGCAACCTCCAGGTAACTGCATGCCGTCTCGTTGGGCATTAAAGCGTAAAACACGCTGCGACCTACGCCGAAACCGTCAATCACCATGCAGTGCCAAAGAACATAACCACCGCAGTTCACCTGATGCGTCGCGTCCGCAAGAAGTACGTCCCCGTATTTCGCCGCTATGGAAGTCATTGAAGCAGGAACGAAAAATACGAATCGAACTTGCGACCCATCTCTTTCTACACGCACAGCGCCGTTCTTACTCAACAATTCCGCTACCGCGTTTACATCATTCCCCTTAGATACCCCACCTAAGCGATGGCGGATGGAAAAGAGGTCCTGTCGATTCAATCGTTTGTTATATCTTTCCAAGACATAGTCTCGCAATTCTCCGGTATTACGGAAGGACTGCATTAAATCAAACACCTGCCGCTCCGCCTCGGGAGTCAGACGCCGGTTACCCACGTACAAACTTGGATTCCCCAAGTGAAAATTATGATTATGCACCAGACAATGCGAGCCTATCTCATAGTAAATGCCCTTAGCACTGATGGATATGCTCGCTTTACAACCGAGGCTGACATACCTATGCAACATGAATTACGCATAATACAACTTTCGCACTTACCGACTGCCACCTTCTCCTTTCCGGGTGCAATGGACACAACGATATTGTACCCATTTGTACCGCATCCCGTCGGGTAGCTCTTGACCTGACCTCTTCTTATACGACACAGCGGTCAACACGTCATATTTGTAAAAACTCGTCGCCGTCTGAAGTTGAAACCGCCTCAAATCTTCCTCGAATTTACCAAATGCCTTATAATATTGGCGAAAAGCAGCGCGGAACGCAACAGTATCATCCACAGCCATTGCAGCGAAACCGAAACAACACCTGCGCACTAAAACAAAAACCATCATATACATCGTAAAATAATGCACCACCATTTTCAGTTCCCCTAAATCAATATACCTTTATTACACCCTTATCAGGCCTTAACAACGTACTTCATATCATTCATCCCCATCAGCCAGTACAGCAAACAGAACCGCCCCCAAAATATGATCAGCTGTTTTCGATTAATCCGACGCTCTCCCGAAACTGTAATGGGACTTTGAACGAACCGCCACTTTTAATTCTCTTTCTTCTTTCCTTTTTCAAACTCGAACACGTTGAACAATGAATGAATCGTTATGAACACATTTCCCATTTGACGCACCTACAGACCTTTTATACCATTTTTGAACGACTTGCAGAATCAGAATCAGAATCAATTTATTAGGAGAATAAGATAGGAATCTATGTGATCTCCATCATAAGTAAAGCAAAAATGACCCATGCCGAATATGGGTCTTTGTGAATGCACATCAATAGTCATTTAGTAATAAGCAAACAAAATACCGATATATAAGCACAAAGAAAGCACTACCCTGGTAGCACATGTCCAGGTCCTGTCCAGTTCAGCATCCTAAACGTTCCTATGAGAGCATTAGGCTAAACTGGACAGGAAGTATTACCGTGAGACGGCTGAAAAGGGTTCCTGTCCAGTTTACGTTGGACCAATGAAGATGATGCTAGCGTTGACCAATAGAAATTCACCACTATGCGTGACAATCCGGTTGGTCCAGATCCCGTCATTGCCTCCCATGGGTATCCGAATACGGACAACACACTTGAACGCACTATGCGCCTAACGAATATATGGACGGCTCGGACCTAGTGTTCACCCGGTACCAGTTGCGGTAGTTTCTGGACTTGGGAACCCACCTAGGCGGCGACTCAAAGCTGTTGGTCAGAAAAGGAAACCGCTCTTACCGCGCACCTGACATCACAAGGCGAAAGAAAATTAAAACCGAGGTATAGGAATGCTATATATACATGAAGGGGTGCAGTACAAAGAACGTTAGTAGCAGAAAGCGGCATAGTCAATATTCTTAATCCGCTTCCGCGAGTGTCAACGTAGGAGGCTAAAGATGTGCCTAAGGAAGCAGGGGACTCACCTCATTCGCACTGCATACTTTAGTTTGCTCAACCGGCGGTCTTTTGTGCCGTGCAGAATGCAACCACGTTTTGATGTGCCGTGTAATGTCAGCATCCGAGGCTGCATCACCCATGCGTTGCCGAATGAGGCCTTGGTAGTTTTTATGGATTACTGCATTTCAACCTACCTTGTACAAGGCCGTTCATATTTGTTCGCCTGAATGCAAAGGAACCTCTAGCGCCGGAGTAATTTATCTCCGCGGCAACTGATCTTGTCATTAGCCGCTCCATGGTACCCCGGACGATGAGTTGTATGTTATCACCGTGCACAGCACATAAATGGTTGACCTAAAGTAGTTGAATAATAAGACGAACTTACGACTCTGATTTTGAAATCGGGGTCCTTCAGCCGTTCATCATATCTCTTTAGCTCACTGAGAGAGATGAATGGCAGAGATAGTCCCGGCGCAACACTTTGGGATTGTCGTTGTAGCATTTGCAACATCGCTTCGGACATGCGACGATGGCCGACCAATTCTGATCGAATGAGACACAACTCATCTAAAAATAAGGCTGAGTGCAATGCAATACATCTGTGGCGTCTTACATTTTATGGCCTGCAGTTCGTGCAGCACATCCAGATTGCTTGGTGGGACGTCAGCAATAACCGGTGGCGCGATTACTGTTTAATAGGGGCAGTATGAAATCGATACTTACGGTTGTTTGTTGATGGTCCTGGACGTGACGGACTAATGCCACTGAACAGAGAGGAGGGCGCACGTGCGTAGGTTGCTGCAGAAGGCCTTTTGGGTTTGCTTGGACGCGCGGCATCCTCGTCATCGGAGCTCGAACGGACGGGCCGGCGTCTAAGGGGAAATAAAAAACACAATACTCACATTGCACGCTTAGCTGGAAGGCCCATGGGAATTGTATCGTCTGTCGATGGCAGCATCCCGCGCTCAGATTGCCGTTCCATTTCTCGGGCATGCTGGAAGCTAACTAACGAGGTGGGTTAATATAAGAGAAATACTTACTAGTGCTAACGATTATGGACACGGCAGTGCTGACCACATCGACATCCGGCGCAGTGTGATTTTTCACCGCTGCATAGTAGTGCGTACCCCGCACTGAAGGTATTTGAGCGTACGAACCTTCTTCTCTAAGCCAAGTGTTACTGACAATAGTTATTAAATCCTCGGAGTCAAGGAGTTTGACAACGCTGTATCCTTGAAAAGCCATCATTGCTGAAAAAGAAAGACGTTAGTAGTTAAAGTGTATAACTGTGTGGCATAGGGTAAATTACAAGAAAATCGTTCAAGGGTAAAGCAATGCACTTAAAGAGAATATGACAGACAGAGAAGGTACATACCTCAGTTGACAACTGCGATGCACGGAAGATGTACGCCGTTGAAGAATCCATGCTATGCGTGAACAGACTACGGAGATTCATAAATTCCCGGCATTGCACGACAATGTTCCCGGACACATTCACAGACACATCTGTCAGTACTCTGGGTTTGGCATCGATGATGACCACGTTATCCGGCTTCACAGTGGAAAACAAAATGCCGTGCAAACAAAACGCCTTCTGACCCTTATAGGTGCACATCTCTACATTCCCAACGGTGCTTGCGTTGCTGGAAGTAGGAGGAAGCTGTTCCTCTTCCGACGTACGCCGCATGATTTGAGCAACCGGACGCGGGGAATTGTGAATCATGCGCTTGATGGAAAACAAGTGAGACTCGAAGGGAAATGCTGAGAAGGTGTGTAGGGACCCCATCTTTCGTACGTCAGCGGGAAGATGAACCAGTGAGTGTACGTTCCACGTCATCTCACTGGGACCATAAAGATCAAAGTAATCATGTAAAAATACATGAATTAAAGGAACAAGGAAATCAAATAAGGCATTGTGAAGGTGAGGGTGGCACATGATATAAATAGCAAATGAGAGATCTAGAAAGTTTTGATAGAAAGCGTCAGGCAATACCCCAATTAAACAAGCTGGTCCGGCGTATAGCAAAAACTGACGCAACTCAGTTGCCTTCCAAGATCGGTATTCGTCCAGTGATCGAAGCTTACGTGGAAAGTCCGATGTCCAGGAAGGCCCGAACTCATGCAACCGTTCGTTTGCTAAAATCAATCGCTCTCTGCGCAGTCGAAATCCACTGTCCACGGGCGAAGTAAGCCAGATTTTTATCACTCTGCGCATAACACCCAAACATACTGAATGCATATAGTCAATTGGGAAGTCTCCAACCAAATCGACATTCAAAGCAGCAAAAGGCGACGGTTGGCTATCATTCCTTCGAACGGATGCATTAGTCCGTAGTGCGCTATCAGTAAGTGGGTACGTTACCTTACGGCTCATATACTCACCACGTTGGGTGCATTTGTCACAGCTGTAATAACCCGAATGTTCTTTTTTTCTTTTCACATACGCACGTGCAGGGGTATCACAGATAAAGGCTTTAATCTTGAATAATCCTTGGCGTTGCAAAGTACGTATCTCATTAATTGTGTTGTACAAGTAATCGTCCACGTCATTCGGCTTCGAGGTCCCACCATAAACACCAACAATGAATGGCTTCGTGATCACCGGCTTTATGACACGGCACAAGATTGGCTATCCATGCATCTTGGATGCATTAAAAGGTTTAAACCCGTCGATATGCAACTGATAATCAACAGTGTCATCAGCGGCGAGCGAAATAGCAGAGCATGCACGCTGTAAACCTCTCAGCAGACCTACGTGACCGTAAGTTCCCGGTGAAACAACGCGAATGCGGGAGGTCCGTGGGGTGCGCATCAACGTCCGGTAATCCTTTGGCAAAAATGGCATCCACGGCTGCACAAGGCACAACAGTGGACGTACAAAAGACGCAGGTACTTGAGATTTTGCGATCAATTTTCTCAAGTTATGTACCAATTCATCGGGGTCTCTGTCATCTTCACTGCGGTTGATAACGTGTGCAGGTGGCTGAACTGTGTCAGCAATCATATTTAAGATATGTTAAAGATGCTCTTACCCTTCTGTCGTTTAGCTTCTGACAACAGAAGCACCTCTTCGTAGCTGAATCCTGATTTCATTCTTTTCGCTGCACGGTAAATGGTGCTACGAGACGGAAACTGTGCAGTTAATTGATAACTTCGTCGACGTGACATGCTGAAAAGGAACACCTACGTATCAAACAATGTTTAACCGAAATACCTGATAGGTAGACCTGGGGAACGCAGTTTCAAGGAAGCTAGACAATAGCGCAGAACGAAGCAGTATCAGCGACCAAGGTTACGAAACCGAAAACGGCCAAATAAAAAGACCTGCAGATGCATTTAAACCGCTGGGGTTATGGTCAAATAATAGCAAATAAAATGCATATCAAATATTAATTTATTAACAAGTGTCAAACTAAATGCATTTAGCTGCAAGTAATGCATTAATACCTGAAGTGGACATCTGTCCAGTTTATGTCCAGGTTGCTACGTTTAGTGTTACGTTTGTGCTACCAGGGAATTGGTGACCCCGAAAAAAAACTATTTTTGGTGAGTTCGGTACTAATACTTTTTTCAGATCCGGTTATTTATTCAGTCTACCTTTCTACTTTTTCTCTTTACTATTTGCGTTCACATTCACACGCTCCGGAATTTTTTCACCATGTAGGTCATTCACCCAGATTCTGACGATCAGGTTAGTGGGTTCCGTTTCCCTGTCCCGCCTTTCCGAGTGACTAACCCTAAGGCTTGGTTTAACCAGCTAGAATTTATTTTTTCATTACATGGTGTTGTCTGACAGCGTAAAATTTCACTGCGTTGTTGCAGCACTTCCTCCGCAAGTCGTCGATGACCTCGACGACGTCTTGGAGCTTCCCGAATGTCAGGAAACTTACGATGAGCTTAAGACCGTCGTCTTAAAGCGATTTGGCATATCAGACCATGCTCGCGTTACGCAGCTTAATGAAACCGAGCTAGGTGATCGAAAGCCTTCGCAGTTGCTGCACAAGATGCAGGCTCTAGCTAAGCCTCTCTCTGTTGGCGACTCTTTTCTTAAAGAGATGTGGCTTCGTCGCCTGCCACATGACATGCGTTACCCTTTGTATGCAAACGATGCGCCTCTCTCAGGTCGTCGACATTGCCGACCGTATTTTGCGGCAGAGTAGCTGAGGTGTTCCCCACCTCTAGCTAACGTGTATGATGATGATGATGCCGACCGTATTTGGGAATCCAACGCCCAAGTATCTCGGGTTCAGTCTACTTCCAGTACGGAGATAGCAGAACTAAGAGCGCAAGTAGCGGCACTTACCAACCGACTAGAGAACCTAACACAGTCTGGATCCAACCGTCGAAGTCGTTCCAGTAGTCGCACTCGCCCTAGTTCATATTCGAAATCTCGCCCTAGGTCAAGCTATTGTTGGTACCACGAGCGATTTGGTCAGCATGCCAGATCGTGTCGCCCGCCCTGTTCCTTCAAGCGCAACGCGCAAGGAAACGGCTAGGCCAGCACGTAGGAGCGACGGACGTTGCTGGCTGCCCCAGTCGCCTTTTCTTTGTCACTGATCACAGTACGGGAGTACGCTATCTCGTTGACACCGGCGCAGAAGTCAGCGTTATCCCCGTGATTCTAATGATGTTATCGAAAAGGCGACTAGTTCATTGCGCGCAGCAAACGGCACCACCATTCGCCTGTATGGTCAACGCTCGCGCACGCTTAATTTAAACCTGCGACGTTCATCTTAATGGATCATTCTCGTCGCAGATGTCCAGACGCCAATTCTTGGCCTTGACTTTCTGCAGCACTTCGATTTGCTTGTTGACGTGAAGCAACGCCGTCTGATCGATCGTCAAACAAATCTGGCAGTTATAGGTACTTTGACCGACATTGAGTCAATCAGTCCTGTATACGCCAACCACTCAAGCTCACCTATCGGTCAGATGCTTAATACCAAATTTCCGCAAGTCTTTCGTGCAATGGCACCCTTTCCATCTGCCACTGATGCTGCAGAACATCATATCGTTGCCAAAGGTCCGCCTGTTTTCGCCAAAGCCAGGAGAATGACCCCTGACAAGCCTTACCCCAACCCCAGTGATTTTGGTGGTCACCGTTTCCTCAAACTTCGCTAGTAGCTGGTCATACTTCTGAGATAATAGGAGCACTCTTTTTATCAGTGGGATC